AATTACTGCAGTTATTTTCAGCTGATACTCATGGGGTGAGTCCCCACCAGCTTTGGCAGAAGAAATGCTACAAAATCCATCTTGTTATCAAAGCTGTTTCACCTAGTCAGAAATCAAAGACAAACAGCAAGCAAACTCATAACCTCAGAATTTTATGGGGAAAAACACACTAAAGACCAAAATTTTAAACTACACTGTCACTTAAATTTCCTTGTCTGTCACTGCTTTTCATACTGAGTAGGACAGAATCAAGCACAGTTCCTTGAAACATTCAGTTTTGTATAAATCCAAGTTCTGAGAAGACACTGCAGAAAACGTTTGAACCCTTAAATTCAAGTTCTTCTAAGTGCAACTAGGGGAATTTTGTGCAGATTCTGGATTTTTCTCCCCATAAATGTTATTTTCCTTTCCTTAAGGACTAGAAACAGTTCCACATTTCAGCCTAGTGTGCATTTTAATTGTTACTTATTATTTATTAAATTCTTGATAAATTACTATTTTATTACTATTTTAGACTATATAGTGTATTTATAGTATCAATTTTGTATATTCAATACTATATATACACTAGATTATTATTTGATTTTTTAGTAGCAAATAAGTACAAGGTGCATGATGTAAAAAGTTCTTTCATTCAAGCAGTAATAATAGTCTTTTTCCTTTTTGTCAGCTAGCTTGTGTATCAGTGTCACTTGTGCATCTGAAAGCAAGTGAAAAACAACTTTGTCTAAACAAGCTCGAAGAAAGGAGGCCACACATACTTCAATCTTTTCTCATAATCCTGTTCCTCAAAATACTGCATTCCTTTGATCAAAAAAATTCATAAACTATTTGCTTATGCCTAAAGCAAAATTCAAGTAGTGTATACGGACACACATATTCCTGAATATTTTGCAAGTTGCCTCATACTAAATCAAGTGTTGGGGACATCATCTTGAAAGGGTATGCTGCGTTTTCTTCCTTTTCTTGGATGAAAACAAAACAAACTACTATTGATTTACTTAATGATGGAAAACCTAGTGTGATCCAAAAATGCTGCATGGACTCAAATATCCACACTAAAAAAAAAAAAAAAAAAAAAGAAAAACACCACAGACTTAAATACACCTACATTAAAAACACTTTTGGGATTGTATATCGTGTGCAAAGAAATGAATTTTTTTGTATGTGTATACACCACTCAAAAAAGTGAAAAATTAAATTTAGTGCTACCTGTCTCTATCAAAGCTTACAAAAGTCACTGCAGCTTTTTTAAGATGAGAAAGAACACAATGAACTACAAAAAGTAGTGTACTTCAAAATCAAGAACCTAGAATAACCGACTGCTCAAAGGAAGAGTACATGAAGGCTGCTAAGCATGCTGTTAAATGGTCAGGTGGAAACCTGAAACTTCCCACCAGTTACATAACAAATCAATCTAAACATTTTAATTTACTGGTAAAACATTTAGAAGTTAATTACATAACTAGCCAGGACTTTCAGAATGCATCAATGACTTCTGACACTGATACATGGTTTTGGACATAAAGATTTGGGGACTGATAAAATGCATTTAAAATAAGAACAGATAAGGATATTCTTTTCAATTTACTTCTTTAAGTATTTTTTCAATAACCAATTCTTTCAAAGCCAAAAAAATGCTACAACTTTAAATTCTCAACAACTGCTCAAAAATCTTAATGCCTTCTCCAAGACATTTCCTTAGCTTAAAAATAGGAGATGGGGGGGGAAGGAGGGTGTGTGCCAGTCAAAAATCAAGTCAGATTTCCAAAAACACTACATTGTTAGTATTCCCTCTAGCTTTTCATTTGTTACCTTGTTACAGGTATTTCTTATTTTACGTAATATTTCACTTTAATTAATAACCTTCTATTAAATGCACATCACATTTATGAGTATTTTTATTGCCAGGCAACATGTCCGTTGAGATACACACAGGACAAGCCTTAACATAAATTACTAAAATCAAGTCCAGCTTGACATTACCATATAAATTTGGTTTTTTCTTCAAGATCCAATAAAATGTCTTCGGAACATGTGCCTCAGGATTCCCTTCCACAAGGATACAATTGTATAGCAATACTAGCTTCAAATGAACACACACTTTACATGTATATTTAATACAGGTGGCTGTAGTTTATTTAAGGCTTAAATTACATTTTTAAAACCTACATAAACAGAAATGTAAGAATACTGAAACCAAAGTATTCCATTTTGAGTTTCACAAAAATATATGGCTAGGTCTTTCCCAACCTTTTCTGAGAGTTACCACATCTTCAGTACCTTGCCTGTAATATACCACAGTTGGGGCTTTTTGTTTTTTTAATAACATTGAATGCATTTATATGCTACCTAAAGGCAAGGAAAAAAAAATTTAAAAAAAACCAGCCACACAAAAAAGCTTTTCACAGTAGCCTGTAGCTACTGCAAAGTTCATTCTTCTGTTTAAAGCAGTTTTGGACTTCTTTCACACTTGCCCTTTTAAGTTTTCTGAAAAATAACTTCTCAGATAACAAAGAGAAAGTAAAGGGCTTGGGGTTTTTTTGGGGGGGAGGGATGGGGGAGGGGGAAATCTAACTTCTAAACACATTTTTAAAAAAGAAAAGGAGGGAACTAAGAAACTTATCAGTACAAACTATATTCCATAATCCCAAATGTAATGGCAGGTTTATTTCTAGGAAATACTGTTTGTACTGTTTTTATGTGTAGTAAAACTGATTTCTTTGTTGTTGTTCTTAAAAAATGAAACATCATTGAAGCAATTGATTTACACATATTAGAAGTATCCAGCAGTTCAAAAGGCACGTCAGATGTGGCTCAGTTTATAAAATACTCTGACTCTAATGTATATTATCTCTTCTCAAATCATTTAGTTATTATACAGGTGAGCAATAACTCTTTGGAAAATAAGAATAAGTCATTTCCCATGGATATTTTCCTCATAGCACTAACAAATGAATGGAGCTTGATGACAGTTAATTATTAGCTTTAACTGGTTTTATGAGCTCTTCCATAATTTTTGACTTCAAAACCACACAGGACGCCACTGCATAAAAGACTGGGAGAAGGAAGCACTATGCATCCAGAAAACCCAAAGTATAATGTAACCTATTCAGTGAAACTTCAGAATTTAGAAAGTGTTCTTCTTCGGTACTAACCAACTGACTATTTTTATTTTCTGCAAAATTAGCTCTAAAAGCCTGGCGACAATATTCTAATTGTTCACCACCTCACCCCCTAAGTCACTTAATTTGATCAGAACAGCAAACTAGAGGCTACAATATATAATTAGCTATGTAATTTACTGTGACTAAACTAGCTTTATTGCAGTCTATTCAAGTGTGGATAATTTGAAGAATCCATTCGGTATTACATGTTATAGCTAAAATAACACTGATAAAGTAGTTTATCAAAGACAGTTAAGTGCTTTGTTATTCAAAGAAGCTAGGAGAGCATTGAAATTATCCAGGATGTCATCATTACTTCAACATATTTTTGAAAAGTAGTTATAAAACTGGAATTAATTGCTTCAGGATCCATGCATATAAGCATTTCTGTTTACCTAGCACAGGAGTAGGTTTCTGAGGATTTACTGAAAGTTTCCATTTTTCATGTCATGGTCTCACACATTACCTTAGATCAGTATCTCTGTGGGATGGTAGAGAAATACAACCTACACTTATGTAGCGAGGGGTGTATGAAGGGAGATCTACCTTCAAGTTTTATAAAAAAAATCCTTTCCCATTTCCTAACATTCCAGTAACTACTATCCACAGTGAAATTTCTTAGCATCAGTAAAATACCCTAGACATCAAGAAAATCAAGAAAAATGAACTGTGTGAGAACAAGTATAAACACAAAAGCTGATGAAACAATAAACTAGTCCTCCACTTCATCAGCCTAACCATGATACTCCTGATTCCTATCTCTCAGACATAGCTCTCAACAGTTCTACAAAAGCATCTTCAAAGATAAATTACAATTATTGAGTACTAGGACTTACAAATTCCATAAAGGTACTTCTCTAATAGCACATTTAATTTCCTCTACATCTCAGCCCCTCGTAGTTCCTTTGTGTTTCAAGGGTTACTTGTTACATGCTGTGAGGTAGAGAAAGAAATAATGTAGGCATCACTCTGCTTGTTAATGTGCTCTTGAGCTCTCCAGACTGCAGTCACTCTCTTCCCTCATGGCCACTCCATGTTCAGTTTCCAAATGCCCAAAATGTCATCATCATCATGACAAAAAACCTCAAACTATTGAGGTGGTACCAATGCCACACGATCTTTCCAGTAAGTGACTGCTCCTTTGTAGCACAGCAACAATGACAGCTAAGGAAGGAAGCAAATTTGAGACTGTATGTGCAGACAAATGCTGCTTTGGAGGCAAGAATCTTTAAGTCATTATTGTGCAAGAGTGACATAGAACATGAGTTCAGCACAAAACCCTGCTGTGACATTCGAAATCATAAAAACCCATTGTAAAATTTTCAGGTTGGCTTGAAAGCAAGCAGGATTCCCCATTCCTTGTTCCTTCTCAAAATCCATTGCATAATCTCACTTCTAATCATCAGAAGCATTCAGTTTCCATTTTAAATATATTTGGAGCAATACTTTGCCAAAATAATTCAAAGACATCATCCCCTGAGAAACACCCTAAAAACCTACATAATTACAACTCACAACAACAATAACATTAGTAATTTGGGTAAAGATCAGAACACATGCACGAAAGAAGGCTCCACCTGTCAGTTAGCCATGCTGTCATTCTATAAGTAAAATATAGCGTAAGACTCTTACCATCATTTTTTCAAACAGCGCTATGATTTCTCTTTCCGACAGGGGTTTTGGAGCAAAATCTTCCGCATCCATAGGCGTGGATGACCAATCTGCAGAATGTGACTGCTTCATATGGGGCAGAGGTGGTCTTTCCTTCTTACTTCCTGGAATTCTTATACTGGCGATTCTATCCAACTGAAAACAGAAAAAGTATAAGGCATCACATACTGCTTCCACTCTATGTAACCCTGATTAAGACGGGTGTTCTCAGAAGCTAAGCACCCTTATCTGTCTGTGATAACTCATGTTATTTGACTATCTTACTTTAAAGGGTTTTCCTAAAGATACATATGATCATCAGTTGCCGTAACACTTCAGTTAACAGACCGGAATCCCATTACATTATGGAGAAGTCATGCAGAAGGTGAAAATTTCATGGGAAGTTTGGAGGAAAACATAAGCACAAAACCGATTCATAAAGAGTTCTTCCCAACCTTTACATGTAGAATATGAAAAAGTAGGCTTATTTACCCAAAGCATAGTTCTAAAATGTTTTTTGTTGCTCTGAAACAGCTGTACACCTTATATTGTAATAGAATACACAGATATGCATAGAAACTTCTTTTTATTACAAGACAAGTTAACATAACTAAGACCCTATTATATTTATTATTTATTTGGATGCTATCCAAAACTTTGTGCCTTTCTGTGCTCCAATTATTTAGAAATTCATTAGGAGAAGCATAAAAACCATCAGCTCCTTTATTAAAGTTAAGTAGGATACACTTATAGTCTCATGAATAATCCATAGGACTTATCAAAAACACAAGGCAATCACTCTGACTTTACTCTTTCAAGAGCCAAAAAAACTTCTTTGGTAAAGTGGTGTGGGTTGTGGGATTTTTTTTTTTTTTCAATAAAGACTTACTAACTGAATTTTTAAACATTTTCATTGTTAGAGCTTGTGTGTTTTAATGTACGTGGGCGAGGACCAACAGAACACAAAAGCAGCTGCCATAATGAGATGCACTAAATCGTGGTAGCAGCCTTTTGAACAGATGCGAACAGCAACATTACACTTGTCAACAGAGAAAAAAGTTCCGGTAGCATTTGATGCTTAAGAGATTTTTGGACAAGATTTCATCCATATCAATAGACTTATGTCTTTGAAATGCTATGCAAAAATATTCTGAGGCTTCAATATATCTTGAAGATAAGTATCTTGAGATATCACTTAATAAGTACATCAAAGTTAGCAAACTAAATGACAAGTGAAGTTATTACAGCGTCTGTGGAATTAAGATCAGAGAGAGCAAAGAAAATTAGTAGCAAAAATTGGGTACAAGTGTTCCGCTCTACTCAGAGCAAGAATTGACTATTAGACATCCATGAAGAGAGGTTTAGAGGAAAAACAAAACTTCAATTCTTCCTGTTCAGAACTGAAAAGGAACAGGTTTTGGAACACAGAAGTAGATTGTAAGCCACTCACATACAGATGGTTGTAGAACATGTAAAAGCAGAAAATTAATATAGCATAAACATAAAAGAGCTCAGAGGGATGATGGGGTCCTTCAGTGTCACAGCAAACCAGCAGGCAATGCGCAAAGCACACTCTACAGGAATAATTACATAGGCAAGACCCAGGAAGAAAGAGAACGCAACAAAAGCAAAAGGGAGGGTAACACCAGTGTAAGTGAAGTACAGAGTCATCAGTGGCAAACATCTTCTGTCGCGATCAGACAGCAATTTCTCTTCATGTCCTTAAACTCAGAAGTCTATGGCAAGCGTGGGGAGGATGAAGCCTGATTGCAAATGGCAATGACTAGACTGGAATCTTAAAAAAAAAAAAAAAAATCATATTATGAGATTTTTCTCCTCAAGCAATGGCTTTCACAGAGCACTGATGAAAGGGAGCACACCTGCTCCAAAGAATGAGTTAGCCAGTAGCTTCTCCGTGCCCCACTGTTCACTATCAAGTGCATAACTTAAGAAACAAAACATTATATTTGAATATTTGAAGTACACAGGCTTGAACCAGGGGTAAAGAGAAGACACTTTGCTGAAATAACAGATTTCAACTCATGGTTCAGTCAGCAGAAAATTGACTAAATCAGGTTTAAGAGACGTGTGCCCTACATGCCTTCCTCATCTCTCCTGAAAAATGTCAGCCCCTCCCTTAGAGTCTGCGTTCCTCAAATGACCCCCCTCCCTCCCCTCCTCCACAGAGCAGCAGCAATACCAGCTCTGTCCAGGCAGAACCACCCCAGCCTCTGCCCTGAAATAATCCATGCCATCCCAGAGCTGCCCTAGCTCCACCAGGGACAGCCAGCACCAGTTCAGGGATGACAGCCAGCTCATCCTTGGAAAGGGGCATTACACTTCCTCTCACTTGTTCACGTTTTTAGCCTATGCCTTGTTTTTAAGCTCCTCGTAGATGTCTATAGTAGATGTTTTGCACAGCGAGAGTTGCACAGTTTTGTACTGCACAGCAGTACAGTGTGGGTATTCTACATCCACTTCTCCTCAAGTATACACTGGCAGTGCCTCAAAAGGGTTAATACCTCTCAATATTACATACGTGCGCATAATTTCATGGTCCACAGAAAGTGCTACACAGAAAAAATAGAAATTTCATTGCTGGGTTGTAATGAAATCTACCGCTGATGCTGCTGGCGATCCAAGTGCACAGAGGAGGAAACGGCAAAAATATAGTTCAATAATCTTCCATGTTACATCAAAACCATTTTAAATCAGGCTAACCAATGGGGAATAACTAAAGTTAGGTTTGATACAAACTGTCATTCAGTTTAAAGCAGGTTTCACCTTCCATCCTTTCTGAAGAAGCCTGACCTCTTTTTATATTTATTTTATCAATAAACACACACAGACCTATACAGAAACTGTGCTTTAAGGCAATAGTTTTTTTGATAGGGACAAACTTTTCCCTTAAGGTCTTTGTAGGTCCAACAATAAAATTAACCACAGAATAAACAGTGCATCGCATGGTCTTAATACAAAATATTTCCACAATAAGTCTCTTCAAAATTCTTCAAATTAATATCTGGTTTGATGCACGGATGGAACTCAGAGTAGATTATCCAGAGCTAAGAGTTCAAAGGCAATAAGGAGTGAGAAAACAATGAGTGCAATTAAATACTGCTGGGCACCCAAAGGAGAAAGCTAGATTTTTTTTTTTTTTTAAATACACTACACAGAAACATAACAGGGAATCTCTAGCATGTGCATGAATTCAAACAACAATCTATTCCTATCATCACAGCACAATGCTACTGAAGATGAGGAAAATTATATTTCAGATACGTCATCTAAAAAAGACACAACAGTGAAATAATTAAATACTGAATACAAAAATACTGCAGAAATATTCATTAAACCTATTCTCTTCAAAATTGTAGAATAAAATGAACTGCCCGTGTAACCAAAATATAGGCTGCATCGTGGTCATAAGTTTAAAAACTGTGATGAAAGGAACAGTGAAAGTAATTAAAAAGGAAAGTTAGCTCTGAAAAGGAAAAAATGTTAATGGTAGGGAGAATTTCCTATCCAAAGGTCAGCCTAGTTCCAGAAATAATGCAGATACACTACTGTGTTGTTAGCAAGAACTAACCAAGACAGTCTTAAGTCTTTTTGGGTCAAAACGCAGGGCGTTTGGTTTGGTTGGTTTTGGGTTGTTTTTTTTTTTTAAGGTGGGAGAGAAGAGGAAGAGGAGGGAAAAGATAAACAAAAACTAATTGGGATAGCAGAGAAGCTATTAACAATATGATTCACACAGTTCTCATTCCTAAGACTAGATCCCCCAGCATGAAATGCATCAGGAGTCTTTTCCCATAAATTCAAATTTAAAGCACTGAGCTGTTTGCGTATATTTTAGCTTTTATGTCTTTATGCCTCCTACCACCAGAGCCTAGAGCATCTATAAAGCTGCGTATTTTATTCTGCCAGTTCACATTCTCCACGAGACAAAGACGACAAGGCAGCTGAAACAAAATCTTAACATCAGCACTGAAACACAGTGAAAAGTAAATCATGGTCAACACGTGAATGTGAGTTACGGTGAGACTGCTTTTCAGTAGTATTTTACATTTACTAGCCTAAAGATTCTCAGGGAGGCTTGGTAAAAACCCTATTATGCTCCCCTTACACTGTAACAGAGTTTAAAACTGTCTTATGGTAGTGTTTCTTCCAAAGCTCTGCTCCGTCACAAAGGTCTGTGATGCTACAGCTTCAGGTGTATGGCATCCAAAGCCTACTGACGCACTCAGCAGCGTATGAGGTGCGAAGCACGTTACTGTATGTACACGAGAACAGCGCAATAGTGCTCACAGCATCTGCACTGGGCAAAGTTGTCTCAATAATCACTTGGCAGACAAGGTATGTGAGTGAACAATGAAGTTCTCACATGACCTTAAATATAATATATTGTGCATGCAATGCCAAAAGCCCTGAGCTGTGCTTTTTTTATTACCAGTAGTACAAGAAAACATGATCGCTCATTTCAAAGGTGGTATTGTCAGAGAAATATTCAGATCCCATAGGGATTTAATTACTAATGAATATTTTTAAACACAGCCATGTTAAAGAAATTACTTGAAAGCAACTGACACAGGTAGGACATATCAAATGTTTTCTTCAATGCTTATTACCTGTCTGAAGGACAAGAGGAAAGGAGATGCATGCAGTGGGATCAAGATTAAAGGAAAGGACTGTCCCTTAAGGCTGTGTGCTAAAAAGCTCCTCTGCACACAAACAGAAGAGCGGAGAAAGACAATGGTGGTTTGGTGGAACCCAAATAATACTTTCACCTATGTCTTCCCAAACTCCTCCCAAAGCTATCCCAAAGTCTCTGCCCTATGGTCCAGGTCTGACATCAACCCCATCAGCTCTCTAGAGCACCTTTCAGACTGAAGGATGATACTGCTTAGAGGTATAAACATATTATGGGATGAAGGGGAAAACATTTTAGGATTGTGCAAAATTTATTTTGCAATGTTTAAGGAAAGAACCAAAGGCAGGGAAAGGGGTGGATCTCAGTGACTTGGAGAGGATAAGCATGGAAAAACGATAAGGGGATAAATACAGCCAGTTGCATGTAAACAGTTTGCTAGCTGGTACACTTCTCTGGCCATGCCCTGTACCCAACCAGTACAGTATGTCCTACCTTATTAAATCCTATTCATAATTATTTTCCTGGGTGAGATGCTCTGCTTTGTGTGCATGTGTGTATGGAGGCCCATGTGTCAGCAACAGGATCAAACCATGAGTCAGAGAGACCACAGATGAGCAACTGGAGAGACCAGAGTGAATGAACACAAGTACCAGCAACTGGAGTAGGACCACAGTGCTGTCCATAGTGCCATCAACCAGAATGAGTGAGGGTGGTTGAGTGAATAATCACTAGCCATTATCAAACTGGACTAGCCAGTGAGAAGGTGAAGCGGCCTGGGAGCAGGAGAACGCGTATCTGCAAGGGCAAGAGGACAGGAGGAGCTGGCTAGTAGAGGGATAATGGAAGTTCTGGACAGCTGCCACAGAAACCATAGGCTTGGGGTCAGGGTGTGCACAAGTGGCTCTAAGGGGTGGTCACTGGTGCAGTTCATTTCCATAAAGGTGAAGGTAATCCTGGCCAACTGATGGAGATTTTTTGTCTGTGCATGCATGCCTGTGTTTCTAAAGACACGGCCACAAGAGGAGTTGCCTGTCAGAGAGACCAGGGAAGCCCCACCAGCTGCCAAAGACCTCTGTGTGTGTATGAGCCCACGCACGTGTGTGTCTCTGAGTGGGCAACTGGAGTGAGCCTACAGCTTCAGGGTCTCATGCAATCCATGTGCCAGCAGCAAAATGTGGGATCTGGGGGCCAGCAACCTGGCCCTGCACTTGTGAGCTCACCTACTGGAGGGATACACATTGTATGTTTCCCACAAACAGCTGTTCATCTTTATCGGCCAAACAGCGTAACAGGATGACACCCATGGTGCTGTTTGTGTTGATCTGTCTGGCCTGCTGGGCATATACATACATGTTGTGTGCACGTGCTTGTGCAGGTGCCTCAGCCTCACTACTGGTAGTTCCATGCCCTCCAGGTCCAACCAGCAGCCTTACCTCTGTTGGGTTACAGGATTCATTTTCCCCCTGACATTTTCCTTCCCTCAGAGGGAAGATTTATTTTACCCAACAGGGTTCACACATTCATATCCACCTTGCCAGGAAGATCAGATATTCTTAGCACAGGAACAATTCTTGCTACTTAAATTACTGAAATCATTCATAGAGTCATTTAGGCTGGAAAAGACCCTGACAATCATTGAGTTCAAATGGGCTTAAAGCCCACAAACTTGCTATAAACATTATACACTGATCTCCTTCACCATTTGAAACTATTAATTGTATTCTAGACATTCTCAAAATACATAGAAAGCCATGATACATAGTACTAACAAAAGAGATAAAATGGCAAGTCTAGATAAGCAGCATGCAACCCCTCAGAGTCAATTTCAGACCTACTGCAAAATGGTTATCAGAATGTGAATCACTGATAGCAAGAATAATAGCTGTAAGATCCAAAGTGAGGCAACCATCATGGGACAAATGGCTATGTTTTATTTGGTTCTTACTTCATAGGTTCTCTGTGATTCCACTGAAAGCCTATGAAAGGGGTTTTATGCACACACCATGGACCTGAAAATCAAAGTTACAAATATAGCCACAACACCAACCTTCTGTCTTATCACACTTTCTTAACAGGTCCCTAGAAAGCACATTTATTCGTGCTCCCATTTTAATCTTAGTGAAGACTTTTTATACCATTCTCTGTAAGACAACAGTGTCTATCGAACTTACACACTTCATAATGCAGGAATCAATGGATTAGTTATTGCAAGACTAATTGCTGGCTCAACAGCTCCTAACAGAGCTGTTATGCAGGCAGGAATGAAAGATATTACTTCCCTGCTATACTGCCTCACTCATCTCTCCCACCCTGCCCTTTCCCACCAGTCCTTAATTAACACATCAGATCATTTATTGCTGTATTAACAAGTTCCCCAAAAATAAAATTCAACACTTGCACATGTAACCACATTCACAATGACTGAAAGAATTCCCTAGTTCTGCCAAGGCTTCACTGCAGCCTTGATTCGATGCCTTTCTCAGGAACAGAGGACAGCCAGTCAGCTAAGAACAGGACATCCACGGAAAAAAATGATGGCATCAGCTACTACTGAGGGAAGAAGACTTGCTAAGGGAGTTCTCAAAGGACTATCCATCTTTGACGCTGTTAACAACTGGAGGTCATGTTTAACACAAAACTCACATATACAGGATGCCTCACCAGCCAGGAAATTCAGTACCATTCTT